AATGATAAAATCTTTTTAAATATTAAAGTACTTTTGATATTTTTAAAATTATGTCCATATTATGTACTTAGAGAGAGAATGATTTTCTAAAAGAGGCACATCGATTTGAAAGCTCCTGTATCTAAAATATTGTAGGTAATTTAACTTATTTAAACTTTCTCTTTTGATATTAAGTAACACGTATGACTGCTTTTTTTAAGATTGGTGAAAACATAAATAGGTATATATAGACATTTATCTGTATGAAAAAATATTGATTATAATTTACTTAGCTAATGGCAAGGCAGTGGTGAATGATGCTGGTATGCATGCATTCAGCATATCACTTGTATTATCTAGTGTGTTTTCGATAAAGGAAAATGGAGAATTTCATCACATGTGTCAGCAACTCTATATGTTTGATTCAAACTTTCTAAGATTTTAGAATTTTTTATTTGACCAAAATGAGTAAGTACCATTTTCTCGCCTTCTCGCTGCTGTCACGATACACGAGACGAGACAATATAAAAGAAATTTGATGAAATTTTGAATTAAAAAGCTAAGAGATGGTCTATGGAGGATCATCACTAATATTTGATTCAATGTTAGACAAACAAATTAGACATAAACATTTGACCAATAGCATTGGATCTTTAGCTATTATAGAGATGGTTAATAGCTTATTATTGCGGTCGATAAATATGTATAGAAAGAAGAAGAACATTAATTATGTTTACCTCACTGCAACAATGCACGCGATAATTTTTTTCGTCTAACATTGAGGTTTATTTTTATTACAAATCTATCTCATATAATAAAATTGTAACTGAGCCGAATCTGTACATTAAATTTTTTTAAGAAAATCTTTTTGAAATAAACATTATTATCGATAGGCTGAATCTATAGTTTTTCGAATTTTTGTCGTATAGGTATATGGTATACTAATATTGTTTAATTTTTTGTCTGTCTGTTCGTTCCAGCCAATCTCCGAAACAGCTAGGTCGATTTTGACGGGCTGATGTTAGAAAGAGTAACGTAGGCTACTTTTCTTTTAGAAAAATAATCAGGGTTCCGCGCAAAAGAATTAAACCCATGAAATTGTGAACAAAATCCGTGTACTTAGGTATGCACCCGAGTGAAGCGACGGAAGTCTCAAGTCGCTAGTACACAAATAAAAAGAATAAATGTCAATTCTATTGGTATAAACATTTTACTAAAAAGATTTTATCTATACATGTATATAAATATTACGATAGATAAAGCTTTGTTGTTAAAATAGACGGATAATCTCTAAATCTAAAAACCTAAAAGTACAGTAGTAGCTTGAACAAAAAACACTAAGGCGACCACCTAGAAATTTCACATCAAATATAATTTACTTAACCGAGCCAGTATCCACTATACTTTCTATATCGACAGAAGAACCGGTGATGATTACTGCAAGCGAATTGCGCTAGGAAGTTACGCTCTGTCCGCACTGTGATATTTCACCGCACGTTCTTTTCTCGCAATTCTGTAACATATTGAATCTTATAGGAATAGTCGCACTTGCGGTTAAAAATTCACGCGGAAAAAAAACTGTGATTTGATGCAAATTGAACGCTATGCGTTGCGGATTTCTCAAGATCGTAAATTGGTGAATCCAATGTTCATGACATCTTTAGATAGTATCAGCTAAATTAAAAAAAATCTGTTATTCATTTTAAGACATTTGTCTCAACCGGGAACTGCATCGAACTGACAAAATTCGTACGAAATTTTATTCGCGGTCTGTAATGATTATTCCAATCACGGAATAAAATACGCGAGTATAAAAATCGCACGGTGAAATATCGCAGTGCGAACAGGGCCTTAATGTTTTACTTTGTTTTTATGCAATAGTCACTGCGTGTGGTTTTTGCCTCATATACTTAGTTTTATCACTACATAGTATAAAACAAAGTCGCTTCCCGCTGTCTGTCTGTCCCTATGTATGCTTAAATCTTTAAAAGTTAAAATTACGCAACGGATTATTTTGAGGCGGTTTTTTTAATAGATAGATCATAGAGTGATTCAAGAGGAAGGTTTTAGTATATAATTTTTTAAGTTTTTGTATACATTGGCTAAAATATAACGATATTTGTTGGAGGTGTTAGAAAAAAATTAGCCGTCTGGGAGCTTTCAACGAAAACGCTGCCTAAACCCTTTGAAATATAACAAAACAATGTATGGTGTAATTGTGTATCTTATATGGTTTAAGGAAAAGTCCGCGATGGCATATGTCTATCTCTTAAGGATAACTTACTATATCCATTTTAATTTAAAACGTACCTCGCTAGTTTAATACAAAACCAAATAAAATGACACCCGCTTCATATGGGTTCTAAAAGAACAGACATATATTTTGAAGAGGTTGAAATAAAACGTTTTTTATTGAGATTATTAGGTGTATGATGAAAAAATCTCATAATACGCTTGGATTGGATCCCATATTTTAATGAGACTTTTTAAGTACATAGCTTAAAACAATATTGTCACATATGAAGTTTCTAAACTGAATAGAATTTTTAACAAGAGTTTCGGCACTTACAGAACAAGTATTAAATAAGTAAATCTATAAGTACATAAAATAAAATTATAACCGATCGCTGTCTGTACATGGAAGATATTTGAGAAAAACTATTATTGGGGGTTTTTATTACCGCAATAGAACACAAAAGAATGATTTTTAGAATTTTTATCTGTTCGTCTGTGCGCGCTAATCTCAGAAACGGCTTAACCGATTTGGGTTTTCACTAATGTATTGTGGTAAGCTTCACTTTACATTTAGTTTTTGTTTTATTTCTATCGGTTCATAAATAAATAAGTTATGTCAATTTAAAGAATAACCCAGGGACGAACCCGAGTCCCCCTCAACGTGCGTTCACCTTGTCGTGGTGGGGGGGCTCAGTAGTGCCCGGCAACCCAACCGGGCGCGAAGCCAAGAAACGCACAGGGAGGTAGCCCACTTCGGTGGGAGGTGGCCCTCTTCGGTGGGCGGTGTACCATGTGGGTTGCTCCTGGTACTTCTCTGATAGCAGAGTGGACCTTGGAGCAACCCCATGGTTGTGGTGGTCTGCTTCAGCAGACCTGCCGTCGGGGCGTCGTAGTTGAATGCGTAAGCGATCCTGCGACGCCCCATTAAGACGGGGGAAGGTTTTGTTGGGTTTTAGTGGGTAGTACTGGCTTTATTACGCCGGTGAGTCCCACACCTCGTGCGTAAATGCATTTCCCAACGTTAAAAAAAAAAAGGGACGAACCCGAGTGAAGCGAGGTTGAATCGCTAGTCACTAAATAAGTCTAAAGTCCATTAAATATAAATAAATTCATAGATTTTAGCAACTAAATACCTTTTCGTTATATGCATGCGATTTGAACAGTTAAGTCTGATGTAATAGATGCCAACTGAATGAAATTAAGTCTAAACAAGCTAAAAACAAAAAGCAAAGTTTACACACATAGATACATGGCTGAAGGCACCGTACTTGTGGCAATTGACGCCCTAGTGTTGGCCGCCACGGCACGGTCATGTTATGTAACATTACCGTGGCTACGGGCAGTAGTTTGTAAAAAACGCCGCGCCGTCGCAATGAATCGGTTAATTAATTATTATTCATGATCTTATGAACTTTGTCGCTTTCGTTGTAATCTATACATATAACAAAATTGTAACTAAGCCGAATCTGTACATTAAATATTTTTTGGAAAATCTTATTGAAATAGACATTATTACCGATACAGATGCCGAATCTATAGTTTTTAGAATTTTTATATCTGTCATGTCTCTCTGTCTGTTACCGCATCATAGAAAAACCAATGGAGGGATTGTTTGTTGGTTATCCGGGTCAACATATACTTAGGATACTTTTTACCGCGGGATAATGTCTCATTAATGAGAAAAAATACAAAAACTGCAATCTAAGAGTAGGTTTGGTCATCAGAACGCGGGCGGAGCCGCGGGCAATGCTAGTATAGTATAATTTGTGTACATGTATGTACATACATACTACATAGCCAATATGAAAAGATGTGATGGAATCATGGAAACTAAAGTAGGTACACTATGGCGTTTTGTTGTTCACGAAAAATTTTATCCTTTGACTTAGGAGGTATTATAATTATATTTTGACTAGCTTCGTTCATGACTCTGCTCGCGTATGTTGTTATATAGCACATAAACGTTCCTCAAAATAATATATAAGCTATAGTATGCAAAAATATTTTTAATTGTACTGATAGTTCCAGAGGTTAGCGAGTACAAACAAATAAGCTTTATAATTTTAATATTTAATTTAAAGTTAAATATAAATCATATCGATTTTTATATTTCCATTCAAAATTCACTGTTATAAAATATATTCAGAATCTGAATACTTTAGACTTTAGAGAACTAAAAAACTAACACAGTCCGTCAGCTGTAGTTAGCTTTATATTTTTATATAAATTAACTAGCGACTCGCCCTCGCTTCGCCCTTGGTTTCGTCCCTTAGGTCGATCCCCATTTTCACACACTTAAGGGATAAATTTTGGGACACAAACTTTCCTATGTCCTTCCCAGGACCTCAAAGTATCTCCTTACCAAATTTCATCTAAATCGCTTCAAGTAGTTCCAGAGATTACTTCCTAGAAACAAACTCACAAACTTGCACACTTTACCTCTTTCTAATATTACTATTAGATAATTTCATCATTAAATAAAATTTTATATTTTTGAGTAATTTAACTTTTACACACTATTGGTAAAAAATAAAGAAAGTGTTTAATAAAAATATATTTAATAAGTATAAAAAAATATCTAATCAACAACATCGATAATTATTATAGTGCAATTTACAATGGAATGATACGTTCACAAACACAAGTATATAAAAATTATACATTTATTGCACTGTAAAGTAACATTTGACGCTTAAAACTCTGAATTCATTTGTGACAATATACTAATGCCCAGACCAAACCCATCCATATCCCATAGAGTATAGACTATAGTTTTTTTTTAATTATAGTTTCGAGCGTATAGCGTCGATTCTGCCAGCGGCAGATTTCTGTAAATCTGTCAATTTCATTGCGAGCCCCATATTTCCTTGAATTTTAATTTTGCCCTGGAAGAAGGCCTTTTGAGGATTTAGTTTGCCTGAAATCAAATCTACGACATCTTCGTCGTTTATCGTGAACGTGACGTCACATTTATCTTTCCCATTGTATTGGACGTTGCCTTTTCCTTCTTTTGCGTTAATAACCCAATAACCTTCTGCTCCATTGGGACCATTCCTAACTTTGAACCCATAAATACCTCTGACCTTTTCAATTAGTTTATCCTCATCAGTTTGCATCGCTTCTTCGAGGATTTTCATGTATTTGTATACTTTGAAGTTATCTGGGTTTTCAGCGATCGCGGCGACTTGGTTTGGCGAGGCATTGGTAAATCCTTTACGATACATAGTGACGACGACAGCTCCACCGAGACCTAGATTGTGTTGTAAGGCGATACGCGCGCGAGGTACCTGCAAAAAATATACATCATTAATATCTTTAAATCTTTTAATGTTGGAATCTTTACATAAAAAAATAATTTAAACACTCATTTATTTATGCTATCATGTTATATGGTGTGTATATAACACCGTAAAATTGTAAATACCGTTAGATTATAATTTATCTAGAGAGATTGTGTATCTTGAAGATTGTGAATCGTAATATACTGCTTACAATTTAACGCATTACAAAACTATTACAGTGGGAATTACTTGGAAGAACACTCTTTCTTTCTAGGTTGGTTAGGTTAGAATAGTGAATAGTGATCACAGCGAACCAGCCGAGCGAGCGAAGCTGCGCCCCGCGGCAGCCGTCAGCGAGTGCCATAAATGACTAGCTAGTGTAGTAGTTTAAAGTTTTGTAACTCTATGGTAAATTCTTCCATTTCACAATTTGACGGTTTCACTTTGATAGCTTATAATCTACCCAAAAATAATACGTTAAATTGTAAGCAGTATGTTACAGTTTACAATCTTTCGACAGTTTACAATCTCACGAGATAGATTATAATTTAACGGTATTTACAATTTTACGGTAACATATACAAAGTATAAAAATATTAACATATCAAATTATTAAATGCCATTAAAGTAAAAATGCTGTAAATAATCACAATTCAGCATGCAGCGTAATATTCATAGATAAAACGTAATCTTTGCCACTTGGGAGGTTATTAATAAACAAAGGTTGAAGAGCATTGTCCCATTGTACTCTTAATTTTACATAAAATCACACAAAACAATATCTTACTGGAGATTTAAAGGAAATAATTTGACCGAGTCATGCTTCAACAACAAAAACAATAATATAAATCTATAATAATTTTTGTGTTAATAATTATACATACAATACAATGGATAAAGGAAATAAGAAGAATTAAATAAGTTACATGAGGAAATAATAATTGTTACAAATAATTGTCACCTCCAGGTAAATTGCTAAGAAATTAATTAAAATTCTAAGAAATCTATTGTTAACTGACACCTCGGGGTGTCCACGGTCATGGAGGGATAAATAGTTACAATTCATCATGACAAGCAAAATTGAAATAACATCATTTAAGTTGTTGTGTGTACAGTTATAAAACAAGTTTATAAGGGCAAAAAATTGCAATATTTTAAATGTTAAGGTCAACTATATTAAGTAATTTCTTATAAATATAATGAAGTTTATCAAATAATGAGTACTTCTGAAAATATTTTCCTTAAATTACATAAACACATTTAATTTTGTTTTTAAGCTCATTGCTATACATTGACATATAGACAAAGGACATTTATGAAGATAACATAATGCACACACATGTTCTTCTTTATATAGAAGACTTTTATGCTTTTGACGTTACCACATTTATTGCACATAACAAACAAACCTGTCTATCTCCAGCTTCACCACGCAGTTGCCACACAAGCTCTGCACATTGAGCGAGACCAGTTGCCCCTAATGGATGGCCCTTAGCTATTAAACCACCACTTGGGTTAACAACAACTCGGCCACCATAAGTGTTATCTCCTGCATCTATAAACTTCCCAGCTTCACCTTCGCCACAAAGCTGTAGTCCTTCATAAGTTATCATTTCATTAGAGGCAAAGCAGTCATGTAATTCTACAACATCTACTTGCATTGGTGATATTCCAGTCTTTTGATAAATTCTTTTAGCTGCTAATGCAGTCATGTCTGCACCTACAAGTTTTATTAAACTGTTGTCTGTGAACACAGCTGGAGTGTCCGTTGCCATCTCCATTCCAATAATTTCAACTGCCTTGTGCTGTAATCCATATTTGATTACCGCTTCCTCAGACATTAGGACTGCTGCAGCAGCACCGTCACTGGTTGGACAACATTCCAACTTAGTGAGAGGACCATAAATTTTACGTGAGTTTAAGACTTCCTCTACAGTATACTCTCTAGAATTTTGTGCTCTTGGATTTTTTGCACCATGTCGATGATTTTTAGCAGCAATCTTAGCCAAATGAGTTTCAGTTGTTCCATATTTTTTCATGTGTTCCATACCAGCATTACCAAAATATTGTGCTGTCAATGGGGCCCCAGTTAATTCCGCAAGATCTGCCATTTTAAGAGTGTGCTTATCTAAAGGATTTACTCTATCTGTAAATGTACCACCCCCGAGTGCACCTGGTGTCATTTTTTCAAAACCAACAGCTAATATAATATCAGAAATACCACCTTCAATGAGTTGTTTTGCGAGAAACAGTGCATTTGAACCAGTGGAACAGTTATTATTTACATTGTATATAGGAATACCGGTCATGCCGATCTGGTATAAAACTCGTTGGCCACAAGTAGAATCACCGAAGACGTAACCACAAACCGCTTGTTGAACATCGTCGTATTTAATACGAGCGTCAGCGAGCGCACCCTCCACGGCCTCCTTGCCTAGATCTGGATAATCTTTTCCACTATTAGGCTTGACGAATTTCGTCATACCTACACCAACTACGTAAACTTTTCTAGGCATTTTGGTATTAAATAATTACCTCGATTTCTCAATGTCGAACTGCGTAGACCACTGCGATATTTTCAACGGATTTATCACAAATTATAATTCTTCCGACTTAAGAACACACAATTTGAGTTAAGCTATTATTACACAAATACAAAGAATTGTGATAATTGTTATCTCGGGTACATTAATGATAAAAAATTGTACTATCGACAGGTCAACGTATATATACGTTAATATGTGATCACAGTCCGCCTCGAAATGAAACAACGAAATATGAAAAATGAATGTCAATCTGCTGCTAAGTGCTACGGCTTGTGGAATTTGAACCCTAGCAATTATAAAATCGGAATTCGGATACTTGTATTCAATGTGTGTATTAAAAAAAAAGGAAATAAATTAAAATATTTATTATATATTTCTATTTTAACCGAATTTGATGTTGAAAAAATAAATCAAAAAACTTAGATTACATTAATACCTATATTACACTAATTTTACTACACTATTTAAAATTGTTAAAAACTCAACATAATGTACTAAGAACTTGTAGGTGTGATTATGATTAGGTACTATTTTAAAACAGAAACCAAATATTTATTAGATTTAAAAAAAATAACAACCTAAAAGACAAAAGTACTTAATTATTGTCTTTATAAAAAATAATATTGCCACAAAAATACGGTAAAAATTATTAAACATAGTCTATGTATTGAAAAAAAAAACAAACTCATGGATCAGTTTTTCTTTTTAACCGACTTTAATAATTTATTTCTATAAAAATATCATTTTCATTAATTTATATCATATAAATTAATAAAAATAAAGAATTTCCAAAAAGCATAGACTTGCAGTAGGAAATAATTTTCACTGAACGATGTGGACGCACTGGGCGTTACTAGTAAGTATACCTCGGCCGCACACATTGCGATAACGCGAATATTCAGGTTATCGCAGTATATGAAGCCACATATTCGCGATGTCGTAAACTCTCGCACATTAAAGGGTTTTATCGCGAAGAACTTCGTTTGCGCGACCACACTTCATTCGGCCCCTGGCCCACAGACATCGTGCGTAGCGGACGTGTTGGAGTAAATTAGGGTTTGCGACGTATGTTCGACATGGCTCGGAGTAACGAGAAAATTGTAGAATTTATCAGTAATTACGATATTATGGAACCCGAAAGAAGTCGGCCACAAGAGAAAGGTTCTCATATATGATGCTTGTGCTATTTATAAAATAAAGTGCGACCGTGGTGTTCATATTGTTTTTTGCATTTGTTTATTACAATAAACTTTATAACGATGCAATGTGGTCACGCACATTCATTGTAGGCCAAACGCGATGTTTTATGGCCCGAATACATTCGCGATGAGTGCGGCCCTACCATTATAAATATTAATACTGGCACAAAATAAGACAAACAGAAAAGTCATTTATTTTGAATCTAAAAAAAAGAAGTATTAACTATTATCATTTATAATTTCAATTCATTATCATGTCATATAAATTTTAGAAAATTATTTCTACATTTTTTTCATTTTTGGCTATATATTAATATAAAATTTGATAGAAGGCGCAATGGCTCTAGATAGACAAAAGATTTTGACAGAATTAGGAAGTATAATGAACCAGTTAAAAAGTGTAGATTGGTGAACATTTTTTTATTTATAACATAATTTTAACAATAAACTATTTTACTTTACTAATTTTTACTTTTTATAGTGGCTGTATGGGAAAAATATTTGGAAATTCTGGACAAAGTGCTGCACCAGCAGAACAGCACTTTCAATCTAGTGGCTGCTATAGACAAAGTTGTTGTCATGGACATATACCAAGCTATGGATATAATCAAAATGCATTTCAAGGCGAGCGAAGCAGCAGTGCTTCTTCAAATATGTATCGACCATGTATGGGCCGCTGTAATCCACCAAAACTCTATTCTGATACATATGGCTATTTAAACCAAAATCTTATGCAACCAACCATTAAAGAAGTATATCAAGATTTGAAAAGTATAACACCGGCAAATACGGTAATGAATAATCCCATGGCAAGTCAGATGGGTTTCAAAGCAGAATTCGCTGGACAAGGAAATTATGGTGGAGTAGGTACGCCTACCCCGTTTCACAAAACTACATCAAATGAAACAGATAATTCTGCTATGTCATTGAATAATATTAATCAAATGGATCAATATGGCGGGATGGGACCGCAAATTATGAATATGCTTGGAGGGAATATTGCAAACCCGAATAGCACTGGGCATAAAACTGGTCAGTTAGCTAAGCCAATGGTAATTGATGCCCCACAATCACATGGCAAAGTTGGTGTTACACCATTTTCTACCCATTTGACAAACCCTTATGCAGTCCAAGCTAATGTTACTAATCAATATACAAATCAGCCAAACATGCAACCTAATGCCAATTCACAAAATATAATGTCAGGAAATCAGCAACTATCGCCTATAAATGCAAATCATAGTCTTTATGGGCAGCATTCCCACAGTATTGCAAAGTTTAATGATATGTTCCCAGGCGTTATGAAAAATGATTTAGGTTTCGATCCAATGGCTATTGCTATTCAAATGAATCCAGCAAATCAAAAACAATCTTCTATGGATTCCATTCATAAAATAATGAGTAATAATAATGATATGAATAGCAATTTTGATAAGAACGCTAATACTTCGCATTTAGAAACTGCTAACATGCACAATAACTTACAGCAGTCTCAGATACAAAATATACCTCCTAGAGAAGTTTACCGAGAAATTATCCCAATGAACAAACAAGGAAACTTTGTTAATGCTAGCCAAAACCAGAAAATTCTTCCCAATATACAACATTCATTGCAGAGGAACGATGTTCACAGATCATCGGTTGGTCAATCCAATCAGCAAGTTTATTCTATGCTCACAGGTTCCCCAGTTGCAAACCAACAAAAGCCTATACAACATCAACAACCGATCGTTGTTGATCCGACCTCTGGTACCGTAATGAAACCACCGAATTTATCAACAGTTTACGAAGAAAATGTACCAAATGATGCACAATCAATGGCTCAGAACCTAAATAGGTCTCCCAATAGTCAACAAATGATAAAGGAGCCGATATTTCCAGCGGATACGTCAAAATATGCTATTTCTAAGCAAAAATATCAAGGGTATAATACTCTAGGTCAACCAATAGAAATGCTATCCGCTGATATATATCATACACCCTTACCATCTCTTCCACAAACTTTATCTCCACAACCTGAAATGAAATATAGAAACGATAGTGCAAAATATAGTAATGTGAAATCAACGATAAGTAAAACATCATTGTTAGCTACTAAACCTATGGGTAAAACACCTAGCAAAAATCAATTGCAACAAATCTATAATCAATATAAAGGTTCTCAGTCTTACACGCAGCAAAATATAAAAGATCAGGCGATCAAAGGAGTTTCCAACTCAGAAAGGAGGCTGCGCATGCCACCTGTACATACAATAAATCATCAACAAGTTCCCATTGAAAGAATCGGTGGAGATACCGCAGCAAATAATCCAATACAAGATCAAAGAACTAATAAAATTGAGCAAATAATAGGAGAAATTGGTGATGTACCAGGCGCAAATATGCCATTTGGAGAAGCAGTGACTCAAAAGGTATTTTTTTTAGATTTTTAAGTAATATGTTTGCTTTAGTATAGCTTTCAGTTGAGTATTTTACTTTAAATGAATATAGACAGCGAGATCTTTACTATATAAAAAATTGTACACAGGTGGTCCCACCTGACAATCGTAAATGCAGAAATGGTTTACAAGACGTCGTTTTTACATCATATCCAACGTCAGCCGCCTGGTCCTTCCACGGATATAATAAGCCTTTGCCCTCCGCTGCATATCGATATCGCAACAAAATTTAAAAATAACATTTATGTATTCAATCGTTTGTTTAGTGGTAAATTGTAAAGTTTTAAATAAATCTTATTTTTTTTTCTTATTTCTTATATTCCTATTAAATAAGGCTAGACAACAAATTTACTTATCCTTTATTCTTATCTTCCCATCGAAAAAGGTACTATATCTCATAATGACTGGGAATGATTGATTTAGTTTGTAAGCAATAAAAATCTTTGATAATATACAAACTACGTGAACCTCATCGATAACTTATTATATACTAAATAGATTAACTATTTTAATAGGTACACAACAGTCTATTAAAATATATTTATTTCACTTGAGGTTTGACAAGAAAACTTATGGTTATAGAAGTTACACAAAAAATTACATAAAATCTTACAACTGCGCGAAAATGAGAGTCGTGGAGGATCGTTATGATACAGATGTTTACGCGTTCGGCGCTCGCGGCTCTCTCCCTGGTCGAGCCACGCCGTCGCTCACGCGTTCGCGGGAGACGGGGGGGCGCGGGCGCCTAAACTATACGATCGCACGAAACACGGCCCTACAGGATCGTACATGTTCCGACACGATACCCCGCGATCACCGTTGTTTGTAAAAACCCCGCGTTACACTCTCCCCCTCTAGCCTAACTAAGTGTCCTCACAGTTGGGCTAGTCTAGGTATCTACGCGGCCTACCACGTTTACGTTTTTCCCTAACGAGAGGCTCTATCTGGCTGGTAAATGGCGTGAGGTGCGAAACGTGATATTTCCCTATATCTCTTCCGGTCTGTACGTTCTCTAACCCGTACGTAGTAGGTCTAACTACCTTACCTATCTTGTATGGGCCGTCCCGGCGTGGGATAAACTTCGCTGTCTGTCCACGTCCTGCATCGTTCGGCCCCTGCGTTTTAAGTAGCACCATATCGCCTACCTTATACTCTGGCGGCGATCGCCGTCTCTGGTCAGCAGCCCCCTTTATATAGTTAGTACTGAACGTGCGCATACCTGTCCAATAATATCTAGTGCGAACACGGCCTAAAGTTCGCTCCACGCCGAAATGTCCTGCCATAGGCGCGTCGTGGAGTTCAGCCATCACTTGCCTGCGTTCGTGTTCGGGCACAACAATACAGCATTCTTCTCCATCGTCTGACTCTAAGCTATATCTATGAAGTATACCATCGGAAATAGTGTACCCACGATCGGACCATGGCCTCCCCCTAGAAGGTTCGTCAGACTCCATGTCCTCAATGATTTTGCGAATCTCTGGATCTAACAGTTGATTGCTGCGGATATCACCACTACTCCTCTTTGGTAAGTCAAAACGACTGTCATACATAATTCGCACTCACCTTGGTTCTCAGCACAAACTGGTCGCGAAAAGCGTATCCGCTACCACGTTCGAGCGTCCCGGTGTGTATTGGATATTGAGGTCGAACTCTTGCAATGTTAGGGCCCCACCTAGCCAGCCGACCACTAGGTGACCTCTGACTCATTAGCCATCGCAAAGGCTGGTGGTCCGTCCTAACCGTTACCTTCGCAGTATCTACGTAACCGCGAAACTTACCTAACGCCCACACGACGGCGAGTGCCTCTCGCTCCGTCGTGGAATAATTCTTCTCTGCACTAGTGAGAAGACGACTTGCGTACTCGATCGGTCTCTCATCGTGTCCCTCCCCCTGCATTAAAACAGCCCCGAGGGCAGTAAGCGCTGCTGTCGGTGCAGAGAACGAATGGCTTCGACTCATCCGCCTGACGCAGAAATGGGAGCGGATACGAGGAGACGCTTTATCCGCTCAAACGCCTCCTGATGCTCGCGTCCCATCGCCAGGCACTTGATTTCTTCAGGAGTGTTGTAAGAGGTCTCGCGATCTCAGCGTAATTATTAATAAAGCGGCGATACCAACTCACCGTTTGTAAGAAACATTTTAAGTGTTTAACGTTCTGAGGGGCGGGCATATTATCAATAGCCGCCGTCTTATCTGGATCCACCTGGATTCCGCCTGGTACAATAACGTGTCCTAAAAACTTAACAGATTCTCTATTCTGTTGCTCCTGGGTTAACTTAGATCCTTCGTCTGCGCGCAACATCAGCTCATCAGATGCGGCGTGCAATAATCTGTACCTGCAGGGTCAAGTGTGTACGAATAAATAAAATTAAAGCACTGTCCGGGACTATCCATAAATGTCCAAGTGCGATGGGCAACGTTTATTACCATTCCGGCCCGAGATAAGAAATCCATACCTAGAAGTGTTCTAGTGTCACAACCTGGCAACACTAGTAATTGACACATTACACTATGGCCTTCGATATCTATACCTACCTCGGCCGTCAACAAGTCTCTCCACCCTTGTGTACCGTCAGCCAGGTGTACAAATCGTTTAACTTTACTAAAGTGTACTCCCAAGTCTACTAAAATTTTATATAATAAAGGACTCGCAATACTATGCGTAGCGCCCGTATCCACTATCGCCACTCCGGTACGACCCATAACAGATATATTAACCATAGGATACGATTCACGCGTACTCACGTTAGTTAACTTAATACATGACGCACTTGTATTACTTATACTACTATTATTATTATTAACGCAATTATCGTGATTATTAAAATCTACATCCAAATTATTGAACGAAGTTTTACCATCCGAATTCGTTAAAGTTTTCACACAAATATCACATTTCGACCTCACGACACCTCCTTGCCACAACCATAACAACGTATACCCTTACGCGTGCTATCGCTATACAAACGTTATCATTATTATTATTGTTAATAACCTTCTCACGATTGCGACATTCTTCACTAATATGCCCAAATAATTTTACAATAACTACATCGGGGCCTATGTTTTTATTACTACGCGGAGTGATCGCGTTCGTACTATCAAAAACTCGATCGAGTGAGATCGCGACCGGTAGTAGTGACCGATGTTCGTGAAATCGCGTTTTTTACAATTATTACTATTATTGTTATCCTTATTTACCTTAAGAGTTTTATACATATCCTCCGCGATCCTCGTTTTATACATTAAGTCATCTAAATTACGAACATTATCGCGGAAACTCTTTTAACAATACGTCGGTGTAATAACCCGTAACAAATATCAACTTGCACTATTTCATCGAGCTTATACGGTAACTTTGCAATTAACGCTCGCACTTTACACAAAAACGACTCGGCGCGTTCTTCTTCTTGCTGCTCCGTCGCGAAGATCTGCCGTAGAATCTGATGCGCGGGCTGCGCCACGCCATACGCCGCGCGTAGCGGGCGACCGCGTCCGCCCATGTAGTCACCGACGCCTTAACGCCGCGCCACCATACTGCCGCTTCACCCTCCAGCAAACATCGGCAATCCGCGGAGTGCGAGCTCGTCACTCACGGCCGCACACTCCTTAAATATCTCGACGGCATCCAGGAACGCTTCTAATACCTCGGCGTCCCGGGACGACCCGTTGAACCGCGCTGTGCACTTAGTAAAATTTGCGTCGACACTCGCGACGCTGGCAGCAGTACCACTCCCGCTGTTCACATTATTTGTTTGAGAGGCCACGACTGGGTGGAGGCCTTAAATTCACTGCTGGACGTCATCAGAGAATTGATAAGGCTTCTATTTGCTTCCACTTGCGCACGCGTGATCGTTTCCATCAGCGTGGATAGGAAGTGTTCGGGGAGCTGGGGTGCTGGTTGCTGTGTCGAGCCGGCTCGCGCAGCTCCGTCCACGTGGCCGTGCTCGATGGTGCTCTCCTCTCCCTCTGCGGCATCATCCCCTCGCTGCTGCCGAAGCGTTTCCCCTCTCCTCGTCATAGGCATCTTCACGCACTAGTATATAAGTTTAAAAGTTCGAGCCCCACGTTGGGCGCCAGTTTAATAGGTACACAACAGTCTATTAAAATATATTTATTTCACTTGAGGTTTGACAAGAAAACTTATGGTTATAGAAGTTACACAAAAAATTACATAAAATCTTACAACTGCGCGAAAATGAGAGTCGTGGAGGATCGTTATGATACAGATGTTTACGCGTTCGGCGCTCGCGGCTCTCTCCCTGGTCGAGCCACGCCGTCGCTCACGCGTTCGCGGGAGACGGGGGGGCGCGGGCGCCTAAACTATACGATCGCACGAAACACGGCCCTACAGGATCGTACATGTTCCGACACGATACCCCGCGATCACCGTTGTTTGTAAAAACCCCGCGTTACACTATTTAAAAAATGAAAGTCTTCAACTTTCAATTCTTTTCCATTTTAATTTAGACTTTTCATCTTTTAAAAACCTTATTCGTTTTTATAGAAAGATCAATAAAAGGAGGAAAAAGCATATGGAGTGGTTCTATTACATAAACAACATCGTCGTAAAATAACCAGACTGCTTCCAAATGAGTTGAATATAATTCCGATAAAATATTTATCGGAGTTAGGAAGTTATTCAAGTCAAAAATATAAATTCTTTAAGCGAGCTGTTGGCTTCTGTTTGTTACAAAGTAAAGTTGTACATGCACATCACAAGGTCTTAAATCATGAAAATCAATTTTCTGTAAATATTTTGTTTTTGCAAAAGTTGTAGAGCATAAAATCTTCTACATACCTAATTGATAATCTCAAACAATTATAATTTATATTCGTCGAGGTAGTGGTAGCCTAGTGGTGACGCGCTTGCTTGGGTAACCGACTGAATGGGGTTCAAATTTTGGGTCTCACACCTCTGACATTTTCATGTGTAAATCATTTTTTCAACATGATTAACCACTTGTCTTACGGTAAAGGAAAACAATTCGTGCGGAAACCTACATGTCTGAGATAACCTAACAAGTTTTCGAAAGACATGTGAAGTTCGCCCATCCGCACTTTGCCAGTGTGATGGACTATGGCCTGATCCCCCTAGTATTGAAGGGAGGCCCGTGCCCAGCAGTGAGATTTCAAAAAGGACTGAATACAATAATATTCGGATAGCTTAGAATGGTAAACGCTTAGCTGCTGGTTTATTGAAGTGAAAACTTCTTTATGCGGGTTTGGATGGGGAGTAAATTCATGTAAGTTGTCATCGACATGGCCACGTGATGTGTTAACGAACAGTGCCGATAAATATCAACACCAGATAAATATAAACAGTTTTAAACACAACAACAACTTTAATTTTTAACAATTTACAAATTTTAATTTAAGATCAAACAAATAATTTAAATAGCCAAAAATAACAATTATTTGTTTATAGTTTTAAGTTTTCACTTCTGTCGGCAGTCCTCATGACTGTTTTTTTTATTTTAAGCTTGCAGCTATATGTATATTTCATTATAAGGTGGGCCTTTGTATATTATTTGCCTACTAGGACTATAGTTTCGTTCTATTACATAATTTGTTTTTCATTATCTGTATCTGAATTCGTAGTCTGTATTTGCAATAGACAAGGTCTGTCAAGTTGTTTAGAATCCAGATTGAAAGGTTGATGTACTAGAGATTTCGATTTTTCATTTTTCATAACGATCGTTTACCAAGAAACGAAGACCATTTAGGTTTTAGCTTACAATCAAATTAGTAACATTTGTCTTTATAAATCGCAATTAGAAAAGAAAAACAAATTAAAAATGTCTCTGTTTGGATCTTTGATGGCCGACGTGGAGGATGATCCGTTTTTTGGGTATTTTTTTATTATTTAACATGATTTGATGTATTTATAATTTTATAATACTCAAATATTAATAACTTAAAGATATCATCCGGTGCTCACCAAGAAGCGAGTATAAAAATATATAAAGCATTGCGTTTAAAAATGTCAGGTGTTGTGAAAAAGCATTTTGCACTTCAAAAAAAAACCACTATTTGATCAAATTTTTCAACCATAGCTTCTTCATTATCGTACAACCCCAAAGTGTAATTAAAGAAGAATTATTACAAAAGTACCCTCAAATACATATCTTGAATAATATTTAATAGCAGTTATTTATTCATCTATTTTTTATATTATGTACAGATCGCATATGAGGCATATGCGGCATATGAACAACATGATGAATTCACTCTTTTCGGATCCCTTTGGTATGCTGGGTGAAGGTCCATTGTCCATCATGGGGCCCCGGCGTGGTAATTCACTCATGCCATATATGCCACCCATGCCATCTCTCAACAGATTATTCACAGGTATCCTATACATTTTATAAGAGAAATAAGAAATTGGGAATTTATTGTTATATCCTACATCAAGTTGTTAAAATAAGTGCTTATATCTTAATTTAACAATTATTTTTCACAGGTAGATTTGACTACACTATTAAAAATTGCTGTCTTAAGGCCTATAATGTTAAAAAAAAGCATTGATAGTAACTATTTTAAAAGAAATCAGAAAAAAGAGAAAAAAGTTTGTTTAGTTGTTTATGATTTTTAAACTTAATATTTGCTTTAAGTTAATATATACTTATTTTCTTTCTGTAGAATAGACTGGAAATTACCAATGGCATAACACCCTTAATTTTGATATATAATTTATTTAACTTTTATTAATTTGACACTTTGCAAGCTGGCAGCTGCTCATATAATCAGCTTGGTCATAGTTTTTTTTTGATTAATTGATATAAAATGTTTATGTAACAAGTGAGTAATGGCAAAATATATAACATGTTTCTACATAAAATTGATAACACTCAGTTGGCAGTTGCTATGGTATTTTCTTGTGGGTGGAGAATATATTTGCCCAACATTTCTTATCCTATGGTGGAGTATGCTATTTATTTATGCGAAATTATATTTATGTAAAAAATATTTTTGAAAACATTCAACATGCAGTTTTTTTTATTTTGGAATAAAAACATCTTACATCTACACACTATAGTAAAAAATATAAAAACCCAATGATAAAGCATACAAAGAAAATAAATAAGTGTAGAGTGCAGCATAAAAGAGTCGAGTAATAAGAAGTTTCAGGTCAAATTAAAAAAAGTAATTTGACATTTTTATATATTAACTAAATAAAATATTGTAAAAAAAAAACAAAAGTGTGCATAATTTAAGTCACAAGTTGAATATCCAATAAAAGCGAAATATATATATGTTAATGCATATAATAATACAATCTCTAATAATACAACATATTAACAGCTGATCTATCAGATGGACACATGAGCGCCGGCAGTTCCTTCTCCAGCAGCACTGTTGTTATGTCAAGCGGGCCAAATGGGAATCCACAGGTATAAAAATAAAATTTTACCTTAAAATTTTGAATATTGAAGCCCGTTGTTGTCATTAGCTACACTTTTTGCATGTTTATACCCGAGATTGTAGGTTCAAATTTTGCACAATAGCAATGTTTAATGAAAATATAGAAATTAACTTCATATATAATGAAATTAACTTCATTAATAATGACTACCCATGGCACATATATTCTATAAAATTATTGAAGATATATAATTATTTAATTAATATATGAATTCCAGGTTTACAGTTCCACTAGCAGTACTAAAATTGGTCCCAACGGCGTGAAGGAGACGCGTAAAACATTGCAAGACTCCCGCACCGGTGTGAAGAAAATGTCCATAGGTGAGTAATAAGGAATATGCGCGATTTTTTTTTAAGAATAGCTTACATCGTTATACATATAATTGTAAAACAATTATCCAGCTCCAAAAAACTAAAATTTAGTATATATTTTTTTAAATATTATGCAGATATGGACACTTTAAATGTCTATGACAAAATTTCAATTTACTAATGTCTAGATCAGGTCTAGATTGTTAGTACCAATCGCAAACACCAACCAACAAACAGCGCTCTGTTATCATATACTCTGGCGTCACATTCGGTCTGACCAATGGTGTTGCGTTTCAACTACATTGATTTTCCTACCTATATTTGCACTTTTCAATAATTATTTTCTTAATCAAAAAGAAATTACATTAAAAAATATTAATATAGGCTTAATCCAGAAGTAATAAAGATTAAAAAAAAAATTTGTACCTTTATTTAAATCACATGTATATTCCCCTATTATGTTATTTGTTATTAAAACAGTTATGTTGTATTGAATCTTTAAAATAATTTCACATGCGCAAGAAAATTTTATTATAATATTTAACTAACTTTTGTTGTCTATACTCAACTAATAACTTAAATTTCATAAATCATTTCAACACTTTAATATTATAATCTCGTGCGATCAGAATTAATATCGCCAACAATTGGCAATAGAATTAGAACAACCGAAAATAAAAGGGCCGTTCATAAAATGCGTCACACAAATTTTTAACTTTTTAGGCCCCCTTCGTCACGCTGTCACATTTTCTGCGCTTCATTCTCCTCTTATCTACATTTGATTTTGATTTGATTTGAGATTTTGCATTCAAATAATTGTAATTTGCTTTATCTACGTTAAAACTAACATTAGGCAATACACTTAGAAACTATAAATCGCTGTGCAAACATGAAGTCATCTCCGTCATACATTGTGTTAGGTATTGCTAATTAGCGCTTAGCATCCGCTTTGTTACAACTTACAACGCGATCTATTGTTAAATGTTATTATTTATTTTAATTTATATATTTTGTTCATACTTTAAATATGACTGTGTAATGAAAAATTATTCTATAATACACTATTATATTACTTTAAATAACTCGTTACTTATAGAAAAGTTTCTTTTTCTATTAGGTGTATCGACTTTCTACATACGATATCGCTAATAGAAAACAAAAAATATAATACGGGAATGATATATTTTGAACACACGACATAACGTCTGTATGCCCATTTACTCCACTTTTTTTATTTTATACTAGCATTGCCCGCGGCTCCGCCCGCGTTCAGATGACCAAAAACTAAATTCTTAGGTGTTACATATTAGTATACTCTTACATTGCAGTTTTTGTATTTTTCCTCAGAAATAAGATATTTTCCCGCGGTAAAAAGTATCCTAGGATCGCGCGCTACATCGCCCGGTTTATATAGCTTGAGCAGGCGGTCGAGCGATGCGGGGCAGAGGGGATGGACTCGCCGTAGGCATCTCAATGCTCGCCAAGCATTAAAAATGTTTCGCTACTAATTACTTCTAACAACGATATCTCAAAAACTATTCATCTGATTGATTTAGTGTAAAGAGCAATTTTAATCTGCATTAAATGACTAAGCTAACTAAAATATTCATTTGGATAAGGATTAATACCGAACTAAAGAAAATAACTTTGAAAATAACGTAATGTTTTTAATTAAAAATGTTAACATAAAAGTGGTTATTGTAAGTCAACCGTAAGAGATAGAGATATGCTATCGCGGACTTTTTTGTAGCATTTTTATAGATTTTGAATTCTCTAGTACATTACTTAACTGTATCTTTGCTAGTTTACGCGGCGTTCGCGTGGAAAGTTCCCATTTGGCGAGATTTTTTGCGACCTCTTCAACATTTGTCGCCGTATTTCAGCTAATTTACATAAAAGCATAATAAATTATATACCTAAACCTTCCTCAAGAATTACTCTTTCTATTGTTGAAAACCGTATAAAAATCCGTTCAGTAGTTTTCGAGTTTATCGCGTTCAGACAGACAGGAGGACAGACAGGAGGACAGACAGGAGGACAGAAAGACGCGGCCGGGGGACTTATTTTTATAATAAGTATAAATTAGCGCTAACGAATGTAGGGTAGCCCAGTGGTAACGTGCTCGCTTGAGAAATCGAGTGAAACGGGTTCAAATCCCGGGTCTCGCACCTCTGATATTCTCATATGTGAATCATTTCCAACATGATTACCACTTGTCTTTTGATAAAGGAAACATTTTGAGGAAACCTGCATGTCTAAGAAAACCTAGCAAGTGCGCAGGCATGCTCAGTCCGTCCGCACTCGGTCAGCGTGGTGGACTATGGCCTGATCCCCCTCGCACTGAAAGGAGGTCCGTGCCCTGCAGTGGGACGATAAAAAGGGCTGAATACATATCGAATGTGTAATATCTTTTCTAAAAACATTTATTATTTAAAGGTCACCACATCGGGGAGCGAGCGCACTTGATCGAGCGTGAACAAAACGTGTACTCTGGAGACGCTGAAGAGAGGCAAGAGTTCATAAATCTGGATGAAGAAGAGGCTGAGGATTTTGATAGGTAATATATTTTCTTCATTTATTAACCGACTTGCAAAATGGAGGAGGTCCTCAATTCGTCGGAATCTTTTTTGTTTTTTTTTTATGTATGTTCACATTCGAAGACGCCTGAACCGATTTGGATTTTTTTTGTTTCGAGGAGTATACTTCCCAGCTGGTCCCATTTAAATTTTATCGAAATCCGTCGCGCGGTTTTTTAGAAAATCAACAAAAAAATTTTATATAAATTGCTTAATCGAATATGTTATTAAAAATTACCTGCTTATTACGTCTACACTAAAAATGGAAAAATAAAAACAAAAAAATAATAAAAACCGACTTCCAGACATTAAAATGTAAAAAATAACTAAACGGGTATTTTTATTTTGAATAGATACTTAATCAGATATATTCATTATCCATATATATTATCCATAACACAAGTGTCGTAGCTGACCATGGAACTTGATGGTGCTGTGTGTTAATGTACCAATATATATATTTTTTTTAAATCAACCCACAGAGAGTTCCAAGAGCGCGCAGCCCAGCGCCGCGCGCGCGCCGCCCTGGCGCACCACGCGCCGCGCCTCGCGCTGCCCGCGCCGCCCGCGTCCTCCGCGCCGCTGGCGCTGCCCGCGCCGCCCGCGCCCGCGCACTCCTCCAGGTGAGCCGGCTGGTATAATCAATAAGTGGCTTACTTATAAACATCTTCGCTTAGTAAGCTGTGACTCAAAGCCGGCAAATCATAAGACATTTTTGGTTAAGATAAGTTAGATATTAGCGGGACGTCTCCATGAAATGAGACTTGAAGGCTCCCGCCGCGCTTCTCCGGATAAGACGACTGATATACTTAACGGGTAACTTACTTATAAAGATCTTCGTTTGGTAAGCTGTGAATCATATTCTGGACATCCTGGGACACTGCTGATTAGGTTAAATTTGTTATTAGAGGATCGTGTCCATGAAATGAGACATAAAACTCCCGCCGCACTTTTTCGGGTAAGCCAGCTAGCATACCTAATGGTGACATAGCCTTCTAGAGGTCTTCAGTTGGTAAGCCGAAATTTGGTATGAATCATCCGGGGCATCCCGGGACGCTGTGGTTAGCATTGGCGGGACTTGTCCATAAAATGAGGTTTAACGACTCTCGCCACACTCCTCCAGGTAAGCCGGCTGTTATATTTAAAGTGTTACTCAAACCATTAGTTATAGTTACGAGTTTTTGATTCGCAAAAAATGTGAGCCTTAATTTTTATTTATAGCTATTATTTATTTTTCTACTGTTATTAGTTTATATTAAATTAACTATATATTTAAAGTATAAACCACAAATATGCGTGGCACTATCAGTTTTTTTTAATTTTTGGAATAGCATAAATTAATTTTATATCTATAAATAAAATTCAAGAATGATGTAAGTTTTCTGTTTAGAATGTAATCATTTTAAGCTTTTCTTCTACGGCTTTGGTGTTAAAAAGCATGGAATTTTAGATATAGAATATAAAATAATATATAATATGTACACATTTCTTATTTTAGTTGTAGCATGTTTTGCACTGCTCTTGCTCTTATTAATAATTATTATTATTTTTAGTATTCATTGATATTATATATATTTTTTAATATTTTTAGAGCAATTTTTTTTTAGTTTTTTCCTGTGGGTAGATGGACTGTGCTATTGATATGTTTTGTTGTATTCATATGTTAATGTTACAATTTATATTAAAAACTAGCTTCTTACCCTCTCTTCGCTTGGATCGTCCTTAGTACTTTAGGAATGTATAGCTATGTAGTCCTACAATCATATCTATCTTTCAATGAAAGTTCCATTACAATAGTTTAAGCCGTGACAAACAGACAAAAAAAATGGGTTGTTTAGTTAATGTTATTATATAAATGACTTCATTTTCTTGAGAGAACATAGTTATTTATAAAATCACAGACTGACAATTTAATTTTTATTAATAACATTGTTCCATTATTAACATTGGAAGCCATTGTCGGGTTAATAATAAGTAATGTATAAAAAAGTGAAAAGAGTATTATTGCTCCTCAAATATTATTTTTTTAATTAAGTACATGTTTTGGGATTTAAAAAAAAATTGTTTTATAAAACAAAGCTTCAAATTACTTATTATCTACTTCAAATTACTCATTAGCTACTAGATTAGTAAAAAATATATTTTTTATTTTAAATGACATTAACTCTAAGCATTATAATCTATAGCTGTTTTATTGAGTTATGAATTAAATAACAAAAAATAAAGAAAGTATTTTTTTTTAAACACTAAAGATATAAAGTAGTTCTCTAGTATAACATACATACATACATTTGCCTGAAAGAGACTTGAATCTGCGACCATTATAGATACAATAGCTCTCTCCACCAACAAGTACCAGTAGCCCAGTAGTTAGTAGGCGGTGTGTCTTTCATCGCGGATATTTCAGTATTAGATCGCTAGTATTACATACATTCTTGAAAGAGACTCGAATCTGCGACCACCATCAATATCGATAGAACAGCTCCCTCCACCCACAAGTACCGGTACCTCCTCAGTAGCAGTGCAGGGATATTTCAGTATTAGATCGCTAGTATTATATACATTTGCTTTAACGAGATCGGAACCCGCGACCACCACCAGTAGGGCAGTAGGGCAGTAGTACAGTACCAGTAGCCAGTAGTGTGCTTGCAGCTGTGCGCGCCGCCGGCCCGCGCCGCGCCGCCCGCTGCGCGCCGCCGCCCGCGCCCTCGCCCCGCCCGCGTGAGTACACGCTCGCCCATACACGTCATAGTGCATTGTTCACGTCATATCATATCATGTGGTTAACACGCTGTCTTACCCATTAATAACTCTCGATTGTTTGTCACACTGAAATATGACTTTTTTACGTAAATAATATGAACGGTTATCTGTATTCGTCATATCATGTTCTTAACACGTTTAACTATGCCTCCGTCATCCCCCTTCGTCCTGCCCCTTTTTTTTTTTTTTTTTTTTTTTTTTTTTTTTTTTTTTTTTATCGTCAGGAAAACCCTGTTCCCGGGTACCCGTCCGCCTGGGGATAAGCGGGACGGGTTATGTGGGGCTCCTGCCGCGCAAAGGTGGTAAACGCGCGGCAGCCTACCCACTAAAAACCTGACGAAGGCCGCTTTGTCGCCACGGGCTGGGGTCACAGGCATCCAGATTCTTCTGTAAACCCCAGCGGCGAGAGCCTCTGAAGGCCCATCTCAAAGTCACGGGGGATTAACCCCGGACGGCCTCTTCGAGTGGCGTGCGGACGACTCCGCGCGCGCCTACTCGGGCCAGATCAGTGGACGGTCAACTTCCCCAAGCCGACCGCCCTCTGGCTCGTGCTAGAGGGGGAGGCGGCGATCGTACGCCGCTCTCCGGCGCCCGGTCCTTCTGCGGCGGATGGCGAGCTCGGCGTTGGCCTCTCTCACCCTCTCCGCCGCCTCCTTCTGCGACATCACGTCCTCGCAGAAGGATAGGACGGCACCCCAGGACCTTTCGCTTCCGGCCATGGCAGAGATCACAGCCATCAGCGTCAGGTCCGGCCCCACGACACTTTGGAGCGCCTCGCGCTCCGTCGCCCATGCTGGGCACACCTCCAGCGTATGCTGGGCCGACTCATCGGGACAGTCGTCGCAGTGGTGGCAGCGAGGAGAGGGCTCCCTCCCGGCGACCCGACACAGATATCCCCCGAAGCAACCATGCCCCGAGAGGATCTGCGTGGCGCGGAAGGTTAGGACGCCGTGTCGCCTGCCCAGCCACTGCGCGAGAGTGGGGCGAATTGCCTCTATGGTCCATCGGCCAGCGCAAGGGTGCTCCAGCCTGGACCGCCACTCTTCTACTGCGGCTACCCGCTCTTGCTCTCCTTCGATCGGGTCTCTAGATGGTGATAGACCTCGACGTCGACGGTATATTGACGCCAGGGAGCGTGCGTCCAAATCCCACGGCAGTACTCCCGCCAACACACATGCCACCTCCCCTGAGATGGTACGGTACCCCCTGATGACCCTTATCGCCATCACTCTCTGCGCCCTCCGCAGCAGAGCGATGTTTTCGCGTGATAGGGCATCCGCCCACACTGGGGCACCGTACATTGCCATCGATCTCACGACACCAGTGTAAAGCCGTCTCGTTACAGCACTCGGTCCACCCACGTTTGGTAGGAGCCTACTCAGCGCCGCCGCCTCCTTCAACAATCGCGGTACTAGGGCGTTGAAATGCGCCCGGAAGTCCCACCGTCTGTCGAGCACGAGTCCCAGGTACTTCATCGTGCTCGTAACGCCGATGCGGACTCCCCCCACAACGATATGCGCGTCCGACGGAGGCGCCCTACGAGGACCATGGAAGCATATTGCCTCCGATTTTCCGAGGGCAACCTCCAGACCTAACCGCCGGATCCTTCCAACAACGAAGCTTACCCCCGCTGTGGCCAATATGGCTGCCTCGCTGTAGTTTCGATGCCGGGCTGTTACCAATGTGTCGTCGGCGTAGCACGTCATCTCAACTCCTCTCAAACCGGTACCCCGAAGCACCCAGTCATATCCGATGTTCCATAGGAGTGGTCCGAGTACCGACCCCTGTGGAACACCGCATACCTGTCCTGCCCCTGTGACGACTTGTACGGGATTGTTGTCATGTCATATTACGCTCTCCATTTATGATGTTAACACGCTATTTTACAAATTTGTCAATTGTTCAATTTAAGAATTTTAATGAATGGGTTAATGGATTTGTTTATGAAAATACCGGGATAGCAGTTTTGGGAGGTTTTGCCATCCGCCGCCATTTTTATTTATTTCCATATAAGCGGCGCGTGATAAAACTGAGTTTTATGTTTATGGGATATTTAATCAAACAAAAAAATATTTGCAGCAAATATCCTAAAATATCAAATTTTGGAAATATTTAGAGTTAGAGTTCGATTTATGAGAATAATGGTTCATTTTGAAGAGTCATATTAATGTTTGTCTTTATGTCCAAATCGGAACGTGTTACTTTAGGGACATATTGCTGGCATAGTTTGTTTGTATCCTCTATCGATAAACCAGTTTAATCTTGTGTTAAAAAAACGAAAATGTAGCTTCCATAGAAAAATATTCGGACCCCTTTTACAAAAGCTCCATTATACAAATATAATCTAAAATAGGTTTTTTTGGCCGTTATAAACCCAAATACTAGTATACATTATATGTTAAGAATATATTTGGTTTGGTTAAATAGTATGGGATTTCGATTTGACAGCCATTTTAAATAAACTCTTGTTATATTAATAAACTAGATATTTCATATTTTCTAGTTGATATATTATGATATATGAATATATTTAACAATTTTCATATCACATATTAACTTGACCACAAAAGTGGTTTATTTGCCAAAAAAACTTTTATTTTTAAATAGCATAACAATTTTCCTTTATTACTTTAAAGTGGCTTTAATAATATTTTTTACATAAAAGTTCTATGAGTTTTATCACGCTTGTGGTTAATCTATTCAAAAACATACACCCACTTGTTTACAGCAGTTACCTCTTAGAAATGAGTTAAAAATCAAAGGATGATGTTGCCATAACATACGTATAGTGTTGCCATAATATATTCTTTTTTTTTACTAATTAGTAAGTTTTTTGTATGCAGTTTCATGCCACTATTGTAAAAATCCTCGATACGTACAATTTTTTTGTGCCTTAATTAATTTTCAATTTTAAGTTGAAAAAAAAGTTTAACACTCCATGGTTTCCAGTTCCAGATATGGGCGACGGCGTTACTACTAATATCGTAATTTATGTAAAATATTTATTTATTTATGCTTTGTATATAAATACTGTTGTATGGTTGGTAGTTTAGTTTGTTCTTAGCATGGTGTCGCTTTCCCTTCAATATTTTTTATACGCATTTTTAAATTGTCTTTTTACATTATTTTCAGTAATTTTTGTACATATTTTAAAGTTCTGTATCGTTTCAAAGTGTTATTTTGACCAAACATTAATTAAGCCTTATAGGTTTTTTCAGACCGATTCTATATAATGTCCAAACGAATATATTTTAAACGAATTATCATTTTTTAAATTATTTATTATTTTAAATAATACTATCTCTTCGGATTTTTTCGCGGATTTATTTTGATTTTAGGATCCCGACGTTTCGAATGCTTTACAGTAATCATAAGGTTACCGAGACTAAGGTTATAGATAAAGGCGTTACAAACAGTGTGACACTTGTTACAAACAGTGTGACACTGTCAAAAATCAAAATAAATCCGCGAAATAATCCGAAAAGATAGTAAGTATTATTTCAAATAATAAATAATTTAAAAAGTAGTTTTATTTAAAATGTCAAACATTTACGTAAATCTAAGAAAGTATTATTTATTACTGATATATTGGTGCAATTCAATTCAATTCTCTTGTTAATGGCTTCAAAGCGTGACTGTTGAGCACAGATTACTTCGCCAATGTCACGTTGAATGGAAAAGACACAAAGGAGATTGGTCGATAAAATGAGATCATTAAAACTGTAATGAATTATAATGTGTAAAAAGAGAGTTAAATATTGGTAGTAAGTTTTTGCATTTTGCTTGTTATTTTGTTTTTGTTGTTATTCTTTATGACTTTTATAGAGTTGCACTTTATTGATTATATAATTTTTATAATTTTTTTATTGATTATATTAATAAATTTTCTATTTAAAAATCACACTTTTAAAACAGTTGAATGAAGCAAACCTTATATTTTGCCTATTATAAAAAAAGAAAATTTCATTTATTCCAAAGAGCTCGTATTAACATTTATTTCATATGTATGTAGGTCATTTTGTCATCTTTCCATAATTTATTCTTCTAGTGACGACAAACCCCTTTCACTAAATAAAAACATAAAGAAATTATCAAACTTTGAACTTAACATTTGTCAAGTTAAAGGGTCGTGCTGCAATATCGTTGTATGATATGCAAACATTTTGTTCAGAGTGCTAATAATATTAAGGTGCTATGAACTATGCCACTAACAACTTTGCTAACGCTGTATTTTTAATCTATAATACATAAATATATTCTATAATAGATTAAAAATATATGTGTCACTTCATTATCATTTTTTTTAATAAATCATTTTAAAATCACTTTTTTTTAATTTAACGAATAATGTTGGTTTGACGTAGTAGAATGCAAGGATCGGTGATCGTTGTGAAGTTCGTGCAAATGTATCTATTGGCATATTGAACGTGCGGCTTTTGTAAATACGTACATATTGTGTATATTTAAACGATGTCAATAAGGAATAGAATCGTAAACGTCGACTGCTCCCATATGTTAACAATCCATTAAGTATTTTTTAAATTAAAATACAAAAATGTATAATGATTAAGGGGCCATTCAAGTATTACGTAAGAAGAATTTTAGTAAATATTCACCCCATTCCTACCCCTTGTCATCAAAAGTAAGCAAATCTCCAACTCCTCTCTTTAACGCTTACGTAAGCGTTGAGACGTAATCTCAATTATTTCGGGGAATCCCTTAACATGCTTTTTGCTTAAGTAATTTTGTTATGTGTGTTCTGATAACATTGATTTGACCAATCCAAATCTACTAAATTTTAATTAATTTTATTTTTAATCACTAAATATTGTTGACGTAATCACCATCGAGATCCTAACGACCCCCATGTCATCAAAAATAAGCTAAACAAAGACCCCCCTGCCCCCCTTTGATACTTAGGTAATACTTGAATGGCCCCTAAGTGAAAACGAAATAAACTGTAAATTTACTATGAAAACTCAGCTACCCTGTCGTTTATGATTCCAACATGTTCACACGAATTTAATTCACAATGCAAATCCAATAGAGCCCATTCGTAACGCGCTCGATTGGAATTGTAAGTGATGCGGATACAAATTCAGGTTTGGCACTATTTGGTAAAACGATGAAGGAAAACGTCGTGAGAAACCTGCATATATGAGAGAAACTGATTAGTACTCGAAAGATGTCAAGTCTTCCTGCATTTTTCCAGCATAATGGACGTAATCATCACATTAAGGGTTCAAAAGGGGCTGATTAATAAAAATAATTATTAAAGTTATGAATATATTATGCTCTATCTCTCTCTAACTCCTTATTATTGTATTAAAAGTATACGCTCTCTCCCTCTAGCTCCGGTGTACGCGAAGTGTACGGCGGCGCGCACCCCCAGCGCAGACATAGACACAGACACCGACACTCGCCCGCTGACACTAACACACACAACTAAACAAACACACCGCGATAACGACTAGTTTTACAATGATATACAATGATATACAACAATATAGATATACAATGACTGTAATATATACACAGTATATAAATCCATACAGTATAAATGATTTTAGTCGAAATGCTGTCAAGGGTTGTCAAAAATACCAATTTACCAGCGAACGGTTTTAATGTTAAATAGTCCAGTTATTAAAGACAAAATGAGACTTACTATAAAAGGTCAAGGTCTACGTTCTAACATTTTTTGATCTCCTTGCCCTTTCGTAAGTCAGAACCTTCCCAGTGACTGGACTAAAGGAACTGTAGTGACATCTCGTGACAAATTACACTTCGGTTCAGTAGTTCCAGAGATTACTTCCTACAAAGTCACAAAATTGATCTCTATATAATATTAGATGTATGACAATCGGATGCGAATTTCCCGCGTCTTTTCGGGTACCGCACGACGCGAGGGTCTTTTCTAGACTGCCTTCATTAGACGCCTGTATGGATTAGTAGACTGTGGTATAAGTTTCAACTTTGTCTTTTCTATTTATTTTTTGTGTAACGGCTTAATTTATAATGTCGTTTTAAATAATTGTATTATTATATGTACTCTCTATATTCTTATTTAACTCATTTGGTTTACTGAGTTAACGTTTTAACTCGTGTTATTTGTCACAAAGCTACGAAAAACGAGACCAGTGCTTAGACAAATTTACTTTCTACCATCGATATCGCTAATAGAAATCTAAAAATATTTATATAGGAATGATGTATTTTCTCTATGATACATAGGACATAGATAGGTATGTCATTTACAATATTATTTTTTTCTATTTCTATTTGTAATAGAGATTGTAGAAAGTCATCTTTCGGCGTATTTTGACGGTATGTTTAAAGTAGCCTGAAGATTTTGTCCAGATTTAAATTATATTTTTTTCATTTAATTATTAATGAATTTGCTATTTAATCAACTATGCCATTAATATCTTATCAAATAATAATAATTGACTGAGATACGTATATAGCTATGTATAATATGTGGCAGTATTTTTTTTTGGTTAAAACGATTGCTTAAAATTATTAGTTATTTTTTCTGTCTTTCGTTAACCTGACTGGCATTTTTTGTCTCGAATCTGAAATTGATAAAGGTTTTTTGCAATTCATTGAAAAATTCCGTTAATTTTGTTATATATAAAGGGATATTGTATTTATATAATGCAACTACCCTCATTTCATACTACTAGTCGGTATCGCTTGGCAACTAGCGCGATCCGTGATAACACAATATTAGTTAGGAATCATTTTAACTAGACTATAGCCCCGTGTATACCTAATATGAAATGTGCAAATTGCTGGTCTGGTTTTGTCAAATCGATCTGCTATTTCTATGGGCTACATACAATTTCTTTATTGTCATTGTATTTTCGCGCTGTTTGTTAAAAATGATTGACAAAACTCATAAAATGGCGGTTTGGGCGTACGATTATAATATACCGTCATAAATTCAATTTGAATTATTAAGCTATAGAAAAATAATGTGTATGAAGTTAAAATAAACGTAATAATATGTTTTTGTTTTTTGTTTTGTTTTTGCAGTTCATTAGCCATTGTTTTACAGTGTTAGTATTAAAATTGTTACAAAAAAAATCATATTATTAAAGTAATGTTTTAAAATAGCAAGCAACGCACTCTTAAATTGCCATTTATAATCTGTTTCATAATAAATAATCGTCTTTATAATAAATAAATAATATGCACTAGATTTTTTTGTATGCCGAAATTGTAATGCATTAGATATTAGTATCGAATAAGTATAATTTAGTGTTAAACAATGTTACATGGTTATACATATTTGTCTTTGGAAATTTAGCCGGTAATGCCTTCTTTTTGATTCTTTTATTTTTGTACTAATTCTTTTTCATTTCCATGTAACATTTGTAATATTTTAAGATAACGGGTATTTCTGAACCCATTGAGCCTTTAAAGTTACAGAATGGACTTTGGTATGTTTTTTTAATATATTTTTTCCGTTGTCAACAAGGTGAAATTTATTTATTTTAGATCTAACGATATTTAACGGGATTTATTAGACTGATATGATGAATCTCGTTATTTTCAAAATGTAATTTCTTTTATAAAAACTCCATTCTGTAAATCCAGTAATATTAAGTTCGATGTAAGATGTAGCTCAGACCATAACACCATATAATCAATATAGTATTTATATTTAGTACCCCGTAGGCACAAAATAAGGGTGCTGGACAAACGAATCGCCCATTCCTCTAATAAATGTTTTTTGATTTTAGCTTGTGTTTTTGTTTTTAGGTAATATTAGTCCATGTTCTCTTGGTCGCGTCTTATTTTAGTCCAGTCTAAAATTGTGTGGGGTAATTGTGAAAATTGATTTTTAAGTAAATATTATTCTTTTGACTTACGGATTTAAATAATAAAAATATTGCCATTTTTATCTAAGATGTATAACCAAAATTCGTATTAAGATTTTAATTTTTATTTAAAATTATACTTTTGTACATTTATTTTAAGTGATTAAGTCCATGTTTTGCAATTAAGCAATGAGCTTATAAAATTTTGATCTGTGGTTCGTTTTATAAAAGATTTTGAAAACAAGTAGTTTGGAATATATCCTAGTATATATCCTATTTTGAACAGACAGAAGTGATATCGTTATTGATGCTGCCCGAGTCATATTTTTGTTGCTTTTTATGAGTAACAATGATTAAATTATTTTATAATATTTAAATAAAGCTATCTTTTCGGATTATTTCGCGGATTTCCTTTGAAACGTCGGGAACCAAAAATCAAAATAAATCCGCGAAATAATCCGAAAAGATAGCTTTATTAATAATGTCAAATATTCGCGTAAATCTAAGAAAGTATAATATTTACTTTAGTTGAAAGCAAGTAGTGTGGAATATATTCCTGATATATTTTGAATTTTTGACTGGACTGAAAAGTGATCGTGGATCGGTATAGTAATGCAAATCACGCTTTATTCTTCGTACCTATTAAATATAAGATAGTTATAGATTGAATAAGTATCCACGATGTGCTGCTTTAAGCCATAAGAAAGCTACATTGAAGTAAAGTTGATGTAAAATCTTAAATTAATACTTTGTTTCTCATATTTGTTTTGGAAATAAAAAAATGACGTCGATCATGATTAACTATAAGAAATTATTTTTAGAAGTAATATTGATGTTAGCGTAAAGAAAACAATTCTTATTCGTGTGATGATTAAAATATTGGTAGAGTATGATGTTGTTTTATTTATTCCTTTTATTTTATTTACCTGTCATTAGGTTAAGAGTTAATACGTAAAAAGTTATTTAATAGCTACGAAAATATGATATGATATGATAAATATCTTTTTAACTTCACAATTATGATTATATTATTATAATTTGTTCACAATTTTATGGGTTTTAATTTTTATACATGGAACCCAAGTTCTTTTTGGGTGATAAACAAAAATAGCCCTAGTTACTCCTTATAATATCAGCTATCTGCCAGTGAAAGTCCCGTCAAAATCGGTCCAGCCGTTCCGCAGATTAGACGGAGCAAACAGACACTTCAAATTATTTATCTTTATAGATGTTAAATACATTTTTAATTACATTGTATTCTTAATTTGTTAAAGGTTGTTATTTTTTCCTTTCTAGAGTGGGGATAAGTGAAACACGTGATAAGTTTAAATCTTATAATAAAATAATCAAAAAACTCAATTTACCAAATAAATTATCCCAATAGCGAAGGTAAATAAATTGACAAAAAGCGACAAATTAAACCCATCACCTTAAAATGCAAAATACATAAGTATAGTCTTAAATTAAAAATAAAACAAAATAATCGCCATCTTAGGTCTTTTCTGCCATTTTGTTGTCGCCATTTTGCGTCGTACTTTGTTATCATAAAGACATTCGGCAGATTTCATCGTTGATATCCAACATTTGGTTAATGAAGGCCTCATTATTGAGAAGTTTCGTGAGTTTCATGATGACGCCTAAAAGTGCTCGTTTTTTATACCTCATTTGCACACTGCATCGCTCTATCTCCTCTCTCACTGTTGGATTTATCTGTGGAAAAACAAAAAAATATTATCTATATCTAAATACCAATGTTTTTGTTGTGCAGTAGAAATGACAACTTTGACCAACATAATAAGGGAATCGAACCCGCTACTGCGGACACAATAGTCTAGGTAAGAGTAATTCTATTATTCTATTCTTTTGTTTAGTGGCTTCCAGGAGTGCCAATTGGGCACAAATTACTTCGCCAATGTCGCGTAGAATATCATTAAAATGAGTCTGACAATAAAAATTGTCATTACAATTTAATAAATTGTAATTGAAAGTGATTACAGTACAATAAAATATTATATATCGATAGGTATTATCTGTGGTATTCTAGCAGTAAATAATAAAAACACATGCTAAAGTAAAACTAAGTAGCAAATAAGCATTTGTAAGTCAGAAGTTTATTAAAAATTCATCTAGAAATTATAGTGAGATTTTTAACATGGATTGAATGCGACGTAATGGTTGGCATAATGACCTATCATTGTAAAGCCTTTGGTTTAGTTTCACTGTCGAATTTATTATGTAAAATGAACTGCGAATCGTTGAGTCTTTGGTTAATAAATAATTTGTATAATTTTAAAGGAACAAGGACTTTCTTTTCAAAATTTACAAATGTAAAAAATGAATTATTTTGAAAACTGTTTTTTTAGATTATACCCAAAGGCGTTTTGAAGACATTTAAACTTATATGAATTACTAACATTGCCCCCGGCTCCGCCCGCGTTCAGATGACCAAAAACCAAATTATTAGGTTAAAACAGATTAGTATACTCTTACATTATAGTTTTGGTATTTTGTCTCAGAAATGAGATATTTTCCCGCGGTTAAAAGTATCCTATATGTTGACCCGGATAACTAAAGTTATCAATCATACCAAATTTCATCAAAATTCCTCCAGTGGTTTTTCCGTGATGCGGTAGACAGAGAAAAATTCTAAAAACTATAGATTCGGCTTCTGTATGATAATAATGTTTATTTCAATAAGATTTTCCAAAAAATATTTAATGTACAGATTCGGCTTAGTTACAATTTAATTATAGGTATAGATTTATGTCATAATATTGATAAGTAATTTGTGTGTACATAGGTGTCTATAACAATTGGCCTTGAATATCGATCCAATTCAAAAAAGAAAATCAATCAAATCCGTTTAATCTTACCCAGTCAGTTATCACAGCTAAACTGAGGTTTTTTTTTAAAAATTGCTTAAAAATAATTATACTGTACGGAAGTAGGTTACATATAGGATGTATAGGATACGCGTTCAAAAAAAAAATATCGGTAAAACGATCCCAAAATAAAATAATATTATTTTATTAGGATGGTTTTAACTTGTTTAAATTGTAACTATAATACTGGCAACTTATGCGTAATATAGCGGTTTGTTTAACAATTACTATCGTAGTGATAACGATATCGAGTAAGATCACGAGTGAACCTGCTCAAGCCAGAAAAAAAATGATACTGTGAAGAAATGCTTTAAAGTATAATAATAAAACGAATTTTTCATGTTTTTGACCAAACACAGGCTTTGATTGAAAAAATTTCAAACCCATTTCTCTTGTAAAGCAAACTATTCGAAGCTGTTATAAATTTTGGCCGTTGGGTAAAAGAAAATTATTTAGAGTTTCTTTTTTAAAATATATCATGTTACGTAATCTTTTTAATGGCATTGTATGCATGGTATTAAGCTTTTATAATCACCATAAGCGATAAGCCGCTTGAAAACATCTAAATTAATTAAAAAGTTTTCAATTCAATTGTTTGTTGTGTGGCTTGAAGGCTTGACATTTGGTAATTAAAATTTTATTTAGTAGATAAGTTTATGTCAACCATCGTGTCTTACTTTATCATCATATTCTTTACTAGCGACTCACCCTAGCTCCGCTCGGATTCGTCTCTCGTTTAGTATAGATTTTCAGAGATGAGATATTTTCCCGCAGTAAAAAATATCTTATATATTGACCCGGATAACCAGCTCATCATACCAAATTTCATCATAATCTGTCCAGTGGTTTTCTCGTGAAGCGTTCCCAGACAGACAGACAAAAAATCTAAAAACTATAGATTCGGCCTCTGAATCGATAATAAATAATAATCGCTATTTTAATAAGATTTTCCAAAAAATATTTAATGTACAGATTCGACTCAGAAATTTATTATAATAATGAATAGATTATATGTTTCTTATAAAAATTACAAACATTACTTCTTTATAATATTACTGTAGGTTTAAGTATTGAGCTGCTTAGTAGTAAAATATTAAAAGAACATATATTGCGAACCACCTACAGCGTTATCTTTTTTTTTTAAGCGAAAGAAGAAACCTTTATACCCTCTTGTATTTATTCGTCCAGATCCTTTTTCTTAGAAACGCGGAAGGATACTAGTTAGAAAATACCAAATATTTTTTTTTATTGAATAGGTACATATTTATATGAGTTAACATACTCTTACGCATTAAAGTTTGTTAGAAAGACGATTTATTATTGTCTATCAATCAATGAAACCAAAGCTAAAATTTTACTTAAGCTGTATAAATAGTAATAAAATAAAATGAAATTTACTTATATTAGAAACTTGAATTTTTTTGGTAAAAAGCGTTTTAGGATGAAATGTAAGAAGAATAAACATACAAGGCAAAAACTTAAATGTAACGCAACTAAAACACTAACATTATCTGGATCTGTGAAGGCACTGAATTTGTACTTTGTTCGTCTCTTCTCGGATCCCCTGTCGGAGAATAAAGTGAAGGAGGCGTCTTTGTTGTGTTGTCCTATGGGAAAGTAGATGCCGGCGACTAGATTGCCTTTGGGATCGCGAGCGAGTAGACTCCTGTAACAATAGTGCATACTGAAAGTACCTATGTATGAAATTATATTGATACTAGCAGAATCCGCGGCTTCACTCGCGCTAAAAGTACAAAAAAAAACTCTTAAAATGGTAGGTTTCATTCAAACTTTCATCCGTTATTTTACCATGCATGCATGCATGGGATGAATTTTGAAAAATGCTAAAACACGTATTTAATTAATTGTATTAATGAGCATTTATACCAAATTTTAAGTAATTCTGATCATAAATATTTTTTGGGTTATATAATGACGTGTTTTCCCGTGGGAACGAGATAATCTTCCGCGTTAAAAAGTAGTCTATATTACTCTCCAACCCTCTAACTATCTCCACACAAAAATTCACGCCAATCCGTCACTCCGTTGTGACGTGAAAGAAGGACAAACAAACAAACACACTTTCACATTTATAATATTAGTATGGATTATATTTTTATTATAACCGATGGGTAAATAAATAGATGCCACATGATAGTCCACTGCCTTATCCGGACTCTTGCACCATGCGCGCGCCCAGATCCACCTCGGCCAACTAGCTTGCGGCGCATGTGGCAGTATAAGTCAACAGATTGGGATGGATTGCGAGAGTACTTCCCATCGTACCCGTGGAGGCAATTGTGCTTCACATCAGAAGATCCCGACATCTGCGCAGCTGCTGTCTCCGAGACAATATTGGCGGGTATGGAATGTTTCATTCCAAACTCGCTAGTTGCTGCCGGGAAAAAGAAACGACCGTGGTTTAATCGGCCTTGTAAGAAAGCGAGATACATTAAGCAAGCCGCGTTCAGGGATTGGATCACGGCTCGGAGTAATAGCGATCCAAATCTTTCTGATGTGAAACGCAAACTAAATGCCGTCTCGAGGTCCAGTAAAAAAACAATTGTCAGAGCTTTATTCGAGTTCATCGGGAGAATTGGCGAAAAGCTGGCTAGTTACCCTTCCGGGAGTCGAGCCTTCTGGTCGCTCGCCAAAGCTGCCGAGGGGAACTTTTGTCTGTCGTCCTTACCACCACTGCAAAATGCCGACGGCAACCTGGCCCATAGCGCCAAAGAGAAAGCCGATCTACTAGGTACACTCTTTGCCACAAACTCGACTTTGAAGGTCAATGAAAGCGCCGCACCGCCAACCATCCCACGGTGTGGACACTCCATGCCGGAAATAAATTTCTCACAAAGAGAAGTCCGGCGGGAGCTGCTAAGTCTTGATGTTCATAAGTCGAGTGGGCCCGACGGCATACCAGCAGTGGTACTCAAACAGTGTGCTCCTGAGTTATGCCCTGTACTAACGCGACTTTTCGCACTTTCCTACCAATCTAGGCAAGTACCGTCTTCGTGGAAGACCGCCCATGTGCACCCGGTGCCCAAAAAGGGCGATAGATCAGACCCATCGAATTACAGGCCTATCGCTATTACCTCTCTTCTCTCCAAGGTTATGGAGCGTGTTATTAATACCAAGCTCCTCAGATACCTAGAGGAACACGATTTGATCAGCGACCGGCAATACGGCTTTCGCCACGGTCGCTCGACTGGTGACCTTCTAGTGTATCTGACACACCGGTGGGCTTCAGCCATCGAGAGTCAAGGTGAGGCGTTGGCAGTTAGCCTAGATATAGCAAAGGCGTTCGATCGGGTCTGGCACCGGGGTCTTCTCTCGAAGTTGCCATCTTACGGACTACCCGAGGGCTTGTGCAAATGGGTTGCCAGCTTTTTATCTGGTCGATCCATCAGAGTCGTCGTTGATGGCTGCTGCTCGGAAAAACTAGATATAAACGCTGGCGTCCCGCAAGGTTCTGTGCTGTCTCCAACGCTTTTCCTTCTGCATATCAATGACTTGCTGTCTATTGATGGCATTCATTGCTATGCGGACGACAGCACTGGAGACGCTTTCTACACAGGCCGTGCAAACATCCCTCGCTCCGCTGTGGTAGAAAGTCGCGAACAACTTGTGTCTCAAATCGAGAGTATTCTTTCCAGAGTCTCCGATTGGGGTCGGGACAATTTAGTCCAATTTAACCCCTCCAAGACACAAGTTTGTGCGTTCACCGCTAAGAAAACCCCATTTACTGTGGCCCCTCAATTCCAGGACACACCCCTAACCATCTCCAACAGTATTGGTATTCTTGGTGTCGACATATCCAGCGACGTCCAGTTCCGAAGTCACCTGGAAGACAAGGTCAAGCTGGCATCCAAAAAGCTAGGTGTGCTTAATAGAGCGAAGCGGTACTTCACGCCGGGACAAAGACTGCTTTTATATAAATCGCAAGTCCGTCCCCATATGGAGTACTGCTCGCATCTCTGGGCGGGAGCACCGGCATACCAGCTTGGGCCTTTTGACTCGGTTCAGAGGAGAGCTGTGAGAATTGTCGACGATCCAATACTCACAAGCGATATAGAGCCCCTAAGTCTAAGAAGAGATTTTGCGTCCCTATGTGTGCTCTATCGTTTGTACAATGGGTTGTGTTCCGAAGAATTGTTCGAAATGATGCCCACGGCCACTTTCTATCACCGCACCGCTCGCCATCGACAGGGAGTTCATGCTCACACATTGCAGCCCAAATGGTCCCGTACAGTTCGGTTTCAGAGGAACTTTCTCCCACGGACCATCTCGCTGTGGAATGAACTCCCTGCCGAGGTTTTCCCAGAGGGCTACAGTATGGGGTCCTTCAAAAGGGGAGTAAATAGGTTTTTAAAGGGTCGGCAACGCGCATGTGATGCCCAAGGTGTTGCAGGCGTCCATAGGCTGCGGTAACCGCTTACCATCAGGCGGGCCGCATGCCTGATTGCCACCGACGTGGTATAAAAAAAAAAAAAAAGATGTAAGTGGGTATGGGTTCGAGTCCCCATTTTTTTTTTAAATGTGTTGGTGGAACATTAATACACAACACCATCTAGTTTCATGGTAAGCTACGAGGCTTGTGGCTTGTGTTATGGATACCAGATAGTTGATACACTACACATATATAACTTTAAATACATAGGTACATATTATCAATATAAATATAAACAACCATGACTGGAGTACACACATTTGTGCTCATCACACAAATGATTCTCCACAGCGAGATTCGAACCCGCGATCGCTGGCACAGCAAATAGGGTCACTACAAGCTGAACCAAACGTCGTCAATAATTTATTAACCAAATACTAACTCAAAGTACATTATTAATGGCCAGTGAATGGCGATTATTATTAGATAATTATTATCAGGAATTATGTTAATAGCTCAAGGTTTCCATATTAAATTAAAATATACGTTAATTTTAAGTTGTTTCACGATATACTTGTGGGCTATATACTTGTGGAATATATATTATACACTACACCAGCACTGCCCGCGGCTCCGCCCGCGTTCTGATGACCAAAAACCAAATTCTTAAGTTTTACATATTATACTCTTACATTGCAGTTTTTGTTTTTTTTTCTCTTAAATGAGATATTTTCCCGCGGTAAAAAGTATCCTATATGTTGACCCGGATAACCAGGTACCAACATACCAAATCTCATCAAAATCCCTCCAGTAGTTTTTCCGTGATGCGGTAACAGACAGCAGACAAAAATTCTAAAAACTATAGTTTCGGCCTCTGTATCGATATAATAATGTCTATTTCAATAAGATTTTCCAAAAAATATTGAATTTACAGATTCGGCTTAGTTACAATTTTATTATATGTATAGATTTATGTTCTTAAGAATTTATTTAGCATTGTTTTTTTAAACTATTAAAGACTTATGAAATATCAATGTTAAAAAAATATTGTTATTTATTTTCTTACCTAAAATTATAGACCAAGTTGCGTTTTTCAGTGACTTGAATGCTGTCCAGGTAAGGCTGAGCAGCATATATGAGGGAGGTCTGGTACTTAACGGAGGTTCCTCGCGTGACGCGCTCATGCCACTCTACGTAGTTGCTGTTGTTTGGATTAAAGCTATACTCGTACTCCTTTGTGCAGTGCGGCTCCTCAGATTTTGTGAACCAGCCTGTAGATCATCAAATCAAATATCGTCAAATGAAATACGTTTTCAACCCACATTATAAAGTATTCATGTAGAAAGGAAAGTAATAGTATAGGTATACAAATTATTTCAATCAGTAATAAGAATCTTATCGTATCAGCGGTCGCGGGTTCCAGTCCCGCTGGGGGCATTCATTTGTGTGATGAGCACGAATATTTGTGCTCCAGTCATGGGTGTTTATATTTATAATATGTACATATGTATTTAAAGGTATATATGTGTAGTGAATCAAATATCTAGTAACTATAACAACAAGCATCTTAGCTTACCATGGAACTAGATGGCGCTGTGTGTTAATGTCCTGACATATTATTTAATATTTTCTATGTACTTACCAGTATGTGGATACGCACGATCAGCCATTACAGTAATGATTCTAGCAACGTGGTAGCCAGGATCTGCAAGCATGATGCCCGGGCGTCCGTCTATCACAACTTGTATCCCAACCATCACATGTTCTTTTTCCGCATGTTCCACCGAAGCTGGACCTTCTCCCATCATCACGTAATCCCGAATATCCACCACTGCTTCCTCACACGATATCAAAGCTATAGCTGTTTCTAGACCAGGAAACTGCTTGTTTAGTGGTCTTAATTTTTGTACTAACCCCATTCCCAAACCGACGCACGTGTGCTTTCCCCTCTTAATTGGCGGAGCGTAGTCTTCAAACATAGTGTATAGAGAAGTTTTCTTCTTTTCCCAACGATCGTACAGCGAGATGAGGTTGCTGACGGAGTCATAGTTGTTATCAACGAGGAGTTTCCTGAGGATCGACTCGGCTTGAGTTACGAGGTCCTCATGTAGTTCCGACGTTAGATGGAGCGGTTCCTGTGAATGCGCCCAACGCGGGGGCGGCAGGCGCTTGGTCAGGTTGTGGGGGGTAGCCTCTTCGTGATCCGAATTGAGTCAACTCGGCCACTCGGCGCCCCAGCGGCCGACCGCGGGGGCGCCGGGCTCGGCTTGCGCCAGCACTGTTGGCCAGGCATCGTTATGGTTAAGCGTGTCCGAAACGCTCTTCAAGAGCGTCTCACGCTTCTCTAACACTAATTCGATAGTTTGTTGACGCTCTGTGAAAAGAAAAAAATAATATATTAATTTAAATGAAAAGTGGACGAACAACAATATAGAACTCTACTCTACTCAAATCTCTTGTTTAAATAAATTACATGTACATACTAGGTCTTCTATAACACCTGATAACATATTTAGATTGGAAGCTAGCGTTGTATCTCGTAACACCCAATGTAAAGAAAACAACGGTAAGCAGATAGAGTTACCCCATGTATATGAATCGAATAATATCTGCTACGATTATCCAAATACCTTGTTATTCTGCAGTGCAAAATAAAAAATTCATTTTAACATAATTTTTAGTGATAAAATTTTCTCTACATTTAAAGTTGTGGAAACTAGTTCAGCCTTTACGTCATCAATTTAAAAGATACGTAGATTCCTTTTTTATTCAGAACTAAATTGTTAACGAAAGTTGTTAATATTTGTTTGAATTTTTAAACTAGATTATAATTTAAAATTCTGGTCATTGTTAGAACGTGATGTGATTGAAAATGTGACGACTTATCAAAATTGAATAAATATATTTAATTTTGCATACAAAATTATAAACCATGGCAATCTTACTCTTCTTAAATTTATAATCGGACTACTTCATATTTGTTACTTTTTCACACAAACGATTAAACAGGATGAAGAACAATGACCTGCAAAAACACGTAGACTGCTGTTAGGCAGCGAGGAGGAGAGCATTTATAAATTTTATATTACTAAAACATTCAAGTTTTATTAAAACAAATTACCAGTTTTATTAAAATTGTTCGTACATACATATATTTGATAATTCTCATGACAAGTGCCTTATCGAACTTGCACTGCAGTTGAACTCGCAGTCTCGAATTTCTCAGATTTCCGCTTCGTGATATAGACATGTATTTTGTCGCCTGCATTATTATTATAGCAAAGTTTTACCGCTCACAATACAATGAGTTACTACTGATGGTAAAAACTAATTGATAAGTTACTCTATACTTTTTGATTTTGTAAACCTATATTATTTTTAATTTTCATAATATTTCCTTTAGTAAAAATATGTTATTTTACCTTTTGACAAGGATTTCTTTTAAGAAAAAATGAATCTGTAAAGTTAACTAGAAGCCATTTAAAAGGATTATCTAATCACTTGGTTGTTTTAAGAACAGTCAAAAATGCATAATTATTGGATTATCGTCGGAAGTATTTGCATTTGTTAAGCTTCAAATCGGTACGAATAAATTTAAAAGTAGGATGAATCGACATCTTAGATTTGTTTACATAATATATTATATTCTTCAATATTGAATTTGGAAATGAAGCTAGTCTTCTATTTATCTATAGGTATCTATCTATAATAAAACTGAGTCGAATCTGTACATTAAATATTTTTTGGAAAATCTTATTGAAATAGTCAGTATTATCGATACAGAGGCCAGATCTCTAGTGTTTAGAATTTTTGTCTGTCTCTCTGGGAACGTATCACGAGAAAACCGCTGGACAGATTTTAAAGAAATTTGATATGATGATAGCTGATCATCCAGGGCAACTATAGGTAAAGCATATTTTTTACTGCAGAAAAATATCTCTGAGAAATCTATGCTAAAAGTTAAAACGTAAGTATATTCCAATGAAAAAGGGACAAAGTGTGCATACTAGAAATGTCTAAATATATTTATATAAAGAAAGGCTGCTAGTAGGTAATATTATAAACGTGTAAAAAAACCACTCGTTGTTATCGTGCTTAATTTTATACGCTTGTGACGTCTTAAACAAGCGTTCTTAAACAAACAGACTGAGCTATATAGAAAGTGCTATCGCATGATAAATTATTTATGTTTCATTGGCACTAAGGGGGCTATCTCCATGACAGATTCCAAGAATAAGATGGTCTTAGAGATATTATCAAACATCACTTATCAGGTAACACATTTTCATACTGTTATACCTACTTATATGCGAAATTTAGTGTGTTTTGTTTATTGATTCCAACAATAATAGCACAACGATTTGAGTGATATTCGGAATGGATGTATACTGTATAGCTTATATGCTATATCTTGCATTAGGTAAAGCTACTTTTTACAGACTTAGCCAAGCCAAAACATGGGCGAAAACTTATTAGAGCAAGGCGTATTTTGTACAAGTACCTTATATGGCTAAGTAGGAAGTAAGTAAGTCTGTAGAAGTCTACAAAATACGCTGTTACTGTACGGTACTTATAAAAAAACAATTTTTAAAATGTTTGTCCTATTTGTTCTTTATTTAAAATACCTAACCACCGAATCGACTGAACCGATTTTGACGGGACTTTCACTGGCAAATAGCTGATGTTATAAGAAGTAACTTAGGCTTAACTTTAGAAATAAAATTAGGGCTCTGCGCGATTTAAACAAAATCTGCGTACCCAGAAACACACGCGAATGAAGCGTGGGTAAGTCACTAGTACAGTAATACATCAATTTATTATTTTACGTCAAAATAGAATTTGTCAAACATTTTATCAGTTTCAATGTCATTTTGACTACCAAGATAAATGTAAACGTGACGACGACCTTGTTATCCAACAATATCATTCACTTAGATTCTGTCTTTTACTTACTCGTGTCTTAAAAATTTAAGAAATCTCATAATGTTAAGTTAATCAAAATGAAATTTTGTAAGTTATTTTGTATTGTATCAATTTTTTAACGTCCCACTGCTGAGCACCCGCCTCCCTTCAATACGAGGGGGATCAATCAGGCCGTAGTCCACCACGCTGGCCGAGTGCGGGTCTTACGAAAACTTGCTAGGTTTTCTAAAATATGCAGGTTTCCTCTCGATGTTTTCTTTCACCGTAAGGCAAGTGGTAATCAAGTTAAAAATGATTCACACATGAAAATATCAGAGGTGCGAGAACGGAATTTGAAGCCGCTTCACTCGGTTTCCCAAGCGAACACGTTACCACTGAGCTACCAAAGCCTTAATTATTTTAACTCAGCCTTAAATAATCAAATTTATAATATCCCGCTTTCCTTAATTAATCAAATAATGTAATAATAATTAATATCTCTTTGTTCTCAGCGTTCTGCCCTTAGGGCTTAGAACAAAATCTCCTTACGATCATTATTGACTGCTATTTCTTTCCAAAAACCATTTTAATACTGCCGATTTTGACTTGCATTAGTTTCCGCGAAAGTGTCTATAAGAGATGTATCTATAGAATATTAACCAGTAAAAAATGTGTGTTTTCTTTCAAAATTCGCACTAAAGACTAATATGTGCTAATCGGTCATATTCAACGTCTCACTTTATCGTAGGTTTCACCCATAGTAGCTCAGATGTCACCACTATTTATATCTTATACAGGAGAAATCAATTTTAATCGAGCACAATTTCTAATTTCAAACGTTTTTAAAGTAAATTGTTCTAATATAGGCTTTAATAAAGCCATTATGTCTAAAGAGAATTTTCAATCACTTCATTAAATCGAAAATCAGGACATAAGGAAAAGTATGATCCATACACGAGAATCGAACTCGTGATATGCGTATAATGCGTTGTGTCTACACACAGTGTGACACAGTGTCTCAGCCATAACCGTTATCATCTTATGATGTCTTATTATACGTTGGTATATGATTCATGAGCGTCAATATTAACGCTGTAGAACAATAAGCTTTGTTCGCTCATCTCGCTCCGTCAAACACCGGATTTCGTTTGTAAATTATCAATCGAGTAATTTCAACCGATATGGTTTGTTGCAAATATTAAAACTAGTTTTGTCTCCTGGCTTTCTTTGTTCTGCATTTAATTTTAATAATCAGACTGGTACTTACTGATGCGAATGTTTATATGTATGTATGACGTAGGTATGTATGTGTATGTGTGATATACATGTATGTTTGTTACTATTTCATGCTGAAACTTACCACCACACCACAAATACACTATGACTTATTATAGAGGAAGGCCTACTAGGATTATATTATATACTAGCAACTCACACTTGCTTCGCTCTGGTTCATCCCTAGGTGATTCTTTAAATTGGCATTACATCTTTCGTGTAAAATAATAAGATTTTTAAATTTTAAAACTAAACCTTAACTTAAAATTCCCTTCGTTTATCAACCGACTTCAAAAAGGAGGAGGTTCTCAATTCGACTGTATGTTTTTTTTTTTATGTTTGTTACCTCAGAACTCCGTCATTTCTAAACCGATTTGGACAATTTTTGTTTTGTTTGAAAGGGTATACTTCCAGATTTTTTTTCTTTGGCTAAGTAATTAAAGCCTACCTATTAAATACATACCTAATCAAATAATTTCGAAATCGGTGCCAGGCCATATAAAGCAAAGCACACCGACTTCGAATATATTTGATTAGGTATGTATAGTAAATGAAAACTACCAATCAGTTATTTTTTACTTTTTAGTGCTTTTGTTTGAAGTCGGTTTTTATTTTTTTGTTAAAAAGTTTTTATTTTCTTTTAGTTTTCATGTTACGTGCATTGGCAAAATAAACGGTACTCAAGGCGTACTGATAGCCATTAAAAAGAAATTACAGCTGTTTCGGACCAAGATACTGCGGTAAGTATCGATCCCGCTAGCTTCGGTATAGTGAGCAATATAATCTCTAATCTAATCACTGCGCCAGAGGTTTCCTACAGCTCTACCGTGACTCAGAGGCAAAGAGGTAAAGAGCTGGAAATTGTTTCCAGCTCTTTACGCTTTTAGTCACGTTAATTAGGGAGGGAGGGAGGGGGAGGGGGTTAATCTCTGGATCTACTGAACCGATTTAGATGAAATTTGGTAAGAAGGATACCTTTTATCCCGAAAATCATCCCTTAAGGGGTGAAAATGGGGATGAAAGTTTGTGTGGGGCATCAAGCTAGGGACGAACCCGAGCGAAGCGAAGATGAGTCGCTAGAATGTTATATAATTAAATTTTTTACATTAGCTAAATGCGATAAAATTATTTTTATGACTAACAAAAATGCTTTTTAAACAGCTATTTTTCCTCATTTTGCATCCAAATTAACTAAAT